TTGTTTAACTTTGTTATGAGAATTTTTAAAAATTATCTTTAAGTAGTTGAGCAAAGAACTTTGGTTTTAATCATTCATTGTGCCAGTCCTGGGGCTTGAACTCACAGCCATATGCTTTGGCTTGGCTTTTTTCACTCAAGACTGGCACTCTACCACATGATATACATGTCTATTTTAAAATTATTTTTGACACAAAAATTTCATGTTTTATTTTTTTTGTGCCAGTAATGGGATTTGAACTCAAATCTCCATTTCTTTAATCATCACTGAATGCCGTGAAAGATGCTTTACTATTCCACTGTTGGATTTAGGACGAGGACTTGGAAGTGGCAGGAAGCTGAGATCCCCTTGTCAACGGAAATAGTAGATACAGGTGTCAGTCTAAGAGAGAATCAGGCAGGTGCAGAGGGTGAGAAGTACCAGGTATTGCTTATATCCTACGATAAGACCTATGATTGAAGCCTAACCTATGGATGGTGGTCTCTAAAAAGACCCAGGAGTCAGACACTTTTTTTTTTTTGTCGGTTGTGGGGCTTGAATTCTGGGCCTGGGCGCTGTCCCTCAGCTCTTCAGCTCAAGGCGAGCGCTCTACCACTTGAGCTACAGCGCCACTTCCATTTTCTGGTGGTTTATTGGAGATAGGAGTCTCATGGTCTTTCCTGCCCGGGCTGGCTTTGAACCGTGATCCTCAGATCTCAGCCTCCTGAGTAGCTAGGATTACAGGTGTGAGCCACCAGTGTCCGACAGACACTTATTTTAAATGTAGGTGATTTTGAGCTGGGTGGTAAGTGGCAATGGGGAATCCTCCTGATAAAGAAGTGGAACAATATTTCTGGAAAATGCAATAGCATATATGATAATGTGGAATCAGAGATAACTTGCACTTGGAAGGCACTGATCTTCATGAGCACAGTGTGGAAGGTAAAGTTGGAAGACTTAGGGGTGGTAATACAAACATGATTGAGAAGCACAGTCTTTTCTAAAAGCTTTCCAGGGTTCTTGAATGGATAAGACATGTGTGCTCTTTTCAGAAAGGTCTAAAAGCAGAGACACTATCAGAGCATGTTACTGAGGTCAAGGTGAGGAAAAAAAAAGACAAACATAGCTGGAGGACAGAGACATGAAGGCTATGGTCCAGTGACTGAGGCTTGCAAAAGAAATCAAAAGAAAAGGGATTTTAAAGCCAGGTTTGGGGAATGAAAAGGAAAGACCATGAAACAAAATAAACTACAACAATATATATTGCAAGGCTCCATCTAGATTTTACTGTGGCCAATAACTAAAAGACCGTAAAACTCATAAATTTTCAGTCAACTTGGTCTTCTTCCACAAGGAAATGCTTTCCAAACTCAGATAGAAGATTTATTAAGAGAGAACTGAAGTCCAAGACTGACTAGATTTGAGTGAGAGCTTCCTCCTGCTGTCAGTCACTTTCCTCTCTCAGGCTAGGCAATGCTGTTATAAGCTGCTGAATGCAGACGCAGACACAAGAGCAAGGCAAGTATCTCCATCTGATGCTTTCTTCTTGTCATTTCTTGTGGATGTACATAATGCAATCATGCATTTGTCCTCCTGTTTCCCTATGTGCTAGCTCACCTGCTTCATGGCTTCCTTCATGCAAGAAAGTGACTTCAAATTATGAGGGTTGGCTAGTGGGAATAATGTCATCTGATTTGTTCTAGTATCAGGACAATAGCTTTCTCCCTTTGCCTCTTTCCCCTGTATTACACATTCTATCACGTACCTACCATCCCTTATTGCATGGATTTATTAAATTTTTGCTACCCCATTATTGACTCAGCAGTTTCAACTGTTTAACAAGTACATATTACATATATATTGTCTTCTCACCATGCTCAGCTAGGGATACCTGGCAGACACAGTTATGGCCCCTGTGAAGCTAAGAGACAAGGCAGGGGAGGCAAACATCAGAAGGGCAGTCACACAACACACAATTAACAGATGACATTCAACCATGAAAAATGCTTTGAAGTACAAATGCAGGATTGTAGAAGTCCAGCAAAAGGTCTTGCTTTTGTTTAAATCCCCAGTGCCTTACAAGAGGCTTGATATATTAAGTGCCAAATAAATGTCTCTACCTGAGTGAATAAATGAGTGAATGAATGCACATGATGATTTTTCCAAATTGATGAAGACTTGTACCTTAAGAAATTATAAAGCTCTGATCTTACTGAATTTTAACCATCCACAGAAAAGATCTAAAGCTATGTACATAGGATCATATAAGATGATGCTAAGCCAAATGAACCCCAAGATAGGGACACAAGAGGTTTTATCTTTCTTGCTGTTGTTTATAATGTACTTATAATGTACTATGTGATTTTTTTGTTTCTTTTGTATTTTCTTCCCCCACGATATAATCCCTGTTTTCACTGTATTTGATTCCAGTGCCCTGCATCTTGTATATACATTTTTCTAATTTGCGGATGGAAGGAAAATATCAAAATCCTGAAATAAGGATACAGGTTGACCTATTGTAACAATGAAATGTACAAGACAGTATGTTGAAAATGAACTTTACAACTTCAGGGGGGAGGGAGGAGTTGAGGAAGTGGGGAGGGAAGGGATGTTAGGGGAAAACAAAGAAGAGGGTAACAATGCTCTATAGGAAATGTACCCATTACCTTCCTCATGTAACTGTACCTCCTCTGTACAGTGTCTTTACAATAAAAATATTTTAAAAAACAAAGAGAAGTTTGTAGAAAAGATTTATGAAATGGAAGTAACTATATAAAAGGAAATATTAACAGCCAGGTGTCAGCAGCTCATGCCTATAATTCTAGCTATCCAGAGGCTGAGATATCTGAGGATCATGTTTGAAACCAGCCTGGACAGGAATGTCTGAGAGACTCTTATCTCCAATTAACTACCAAAAAAGTCAGAAGTAGAGTTGTGGCTCAAGTGTTAGAGCACTGGCCTTAAACACAAAAAGTGAGGGACAGCACTCGAGCCCTGAGTTCAAGTCTCAGGAAATGAACCACAACAACCCCCCCCCAAATCCCCACAATTTAACAACAGATAATTGCACAAGAACCTGGCTGTCTAGGCTGAGACTAGGAGGCTGGGATAAAATATCCATTCAGCATTTAAAAATCTATATTGAGGAGCTGCACTTAAGAGATAAGGTGCTTTATCTCATATTGCTTGGCTTACATTACTTGGGAATCCATGGAACAAATGATTAAATAAAAACAAACAATTCAGATTGTGATTTGTGGTAGGTACTATTAAATAAATAAACCCATACCATATGACTATAGGGTGATAATAGTTGTATAGGACCTAGGGCTATTGACATTAGAGGGTAAGTCAGGACTACTTTGAAAAGGTGACATTATAATTGACAATCATCTCTTTTTTGGGGCGGGGGAGTCTGGTTGTGGGGCCTGAACTCTGGACCTGGGCACTGTCCCTCAGCTCTTCAACTGAAGGCTAGCGATCTACCACTTGAGCCACAGTACCACTTCTGGCTTTTTTTTCTTTCTGCTTATGTGGTGCTGAGGAATCGAACCCAGGGCCTCATGCATGCAAGGCAAGCGCTCTACCACTGAGCCACCTTCCCAGCTCCTGGACAATCATCTTGACAGAAGGAGTTGACAATATTAGTCTAAGAAAGACTCTTCAGTGCCTTGGGAACAATGCCAAGATCCTGAGGTAGTAAAGTTGTGGCATGTTTTAAAGACAAGAAAATGGCCAAAACAGCTAGCAAGGAGCAAAAAGAAGTTGAATAAATAGGCAAGGAAACTTCCATGGGAATATTTCCTTGAGAAGTTTGAGTTTTGAATGAATCAAGCAGGTGATGGTGTGATGTGTCTTTGTAGAGGTCACTTTGTTGGATGAGTGCAGCATGAACTTGAGACACTGAGTAATAAGAGAAGAAACTCCAAGTAGGAGCTACTGGGGTATTATAGTTGAGCATGGACAGAGGCTTTCCTTACAAAGTGAAAGAAGTGCTTGGACTCAGAATATACTCTGGAGAAATGAAGAGGAAGATATACTGTAAATATGTGCTGTGGCTAAAGCTGGGCAGTAAATGGCTCTATTAGGACTACGCTCACACAGTCAGGGGATAAGTGACTTTGAGACAGATCTTAGGCTATAATTAATTGATAAATCTAATTTTTCTATATTAAATTTGAGATATTATATTTTTGAGTGAAGATATTAAGTAGATAATTTTTCTAGAGGTCAGGCTGGGAGATATAGAGGTAGAGGTTGATACGCCAGTACGTGATATGTAAATTTAAGGAATATTGCCAATTCAGGAAGCCAGAAAATACCAGAGGCCCTGTAACTAAGGTCTGAGAAAGGACAGAGTTAGTAAATAACATATGTGAGAAAGATGGACTGTTTTGGCAAAGATAAAGCAAAATAGTTATGTGAACCAATTACCATGACAGGTATTTGGCTATGTGAAGGCCCCTGGTACATATTGACTGAAATAATTTGTGCACAGCATTCTGCATTTACATAATGAAACAGTGTTTTGTGCATATATGAGCTAGAACATTCATTGCAAGGAAATGGCTATGCAATTCTGGGGCTGTTAAAACAAGTGTGAACTGCACAGGTGGACTACTAGGAAGAACAGATTAGAATCTGTGATGGAAGCTAAAGCTGCTATCCAGGGTGGAGTTGCTTCTTCCTCAGGGAAATCTCCATTCTGTGGGAAAAAATTGAGCTTGCCTATTTCTTTGATTGAAAATGACAAATGGTGGCTGAAACTCAAAGAGCTCTCTTCTTTGAACCTTCATAAGATTATAGCTTCTAAGTTCATTCAGCTCAAATAGAAAGCTTGCCTTTTCTATTTCTTGGTAGAAAGTGGTCATTTTTGAATAGGTATCTATAAGTTCTGTCAAGCCTGGAAAGAGCTCTGTAATGTCATCATTGTTATTCTCAATATAAAAGAAGAAAATCTGGTGATGTGTGGGGAGTATTACACATGGTGGTGTTGCACCTGAGTACAAGTAGGTACTTACTGTAGGAGCATCCATAGACCTCCACCCTCATGCCAATCTTCCCACTGGGATTCCACTCCAAGGGCACAAAGCGGATAAATCGGGCTCTCACAGAATGAAGTAGCTTATGGTGCACCACACTGTCAGCATTCATGTTTCCAGCAAAGGTCTAGAAGAGAAAGAACGACCCAGTGAGTTCTGAGATAACAGAGGACATCAACTATATTTTCCTCTGCCAAGTTCCTCTGTCAAGCCTCTTGGAAAAACACCTTCAATTTCTCTGACACTGATGAGCTATCAGTGAACAATCCTCTATCATGGGACATGCTTATGTGTAAATATCGTGTTTTTTTAAAATTATCTTTAAGTGCTTATAGAAAGACGTTTAAATTCAGCATGTCAATTTGTAAGTCTAATGCATCTTGATCAATATTACCTCTTTTATCATTCTCTCCTATGTCTCTCAGTCCCAACCATTTCCTCAAGTTGCTTAGTTCCATTTCCATTATGATTATATTCACTTACCTTTCCTCTCTCCATTTGTCTACTTCCCTCTTCTTAACTTCATTCCACTTCATTCATGGTATTTATTTTGTTAAACTGTACATTAGTTCTTCAGAGGAGTTACACCACTGGAATTCTCCTCTGCTGAAACATTTATTCTTTAAAAAGCTCCTCTCCTCATCTCTTACATGCAACTAAGTCTTATGAATAAAGCAATTCTAGGAAGAAGTAAGATGGGCCATATAAAAGCTTTACAAAGTTAATAACGCAAATGCAGTTCAAACATGCCTAATGTTCATAATCACCGTGACCTGCAAGATAACTGACAACCTCCTCTCAGAAGGAAAGGCTTTACTGAAGTAATTGTTATCATTATTTGAAGCTTAGTCACTCTGCTAAGCACTTTCCATTACCATTATCACCATTTACAGATAAAACAAAAATTGAAATCTAGAGATAGAAAAGAAGAAGGAGCAAATATCCGTACCTAGTTGGTAAATGGTCTAAATTTCAATGTCAAGTTATTCTATTCCTAATCTCTTCTTCTTGCTACAGTCCTACTCACCTGTCCTATTGCTATGCTTACTGGAAGAAGATATCACATTTGAGATTTATGGGTAGTTCATTTCCCATTTGTTTTGATCTTTAAATGGTAGGAAAAAAAACAGCACAGGAACTACTTATTCCCTATGTGTCCTCACTTGTAAAATCAAAGAATATAAAATTATTTTTCTGCAACTAGAATATGAAGCTATTTCACCTTGTCTTTTGTTTTAAATATTTTATTAAGTCATCATCCTTTCTTTTTTTTTTCTTTTTCTTTTTTTTTTTGGGTCCGGTCATGGGGCCTGAACTCCAGGCCTGGGCACTGTCCTTCACCTCTTCAGCTCAAGGCTAGTGCTCTACCACTTGAGCCACAGCACCACTTCCGGCTTTTCTCTTTTTGCTTATGTGGTGCTGAGGAATCGAACCCAGGGCCTCATGCATGCAAGGCAAGCGCTCTACCACTGAGCCACCTTCCCAGCCCCGAGTCATCTTTTCTTTAAAGGGGATAAAATGTAAATTTACGAAATTTACCATTTTGACCATGTTGTTTGTTGGTTTGATTTTATGCGTGTACCAGGCTTCAAACTGTTAGCCTTTTAACGTGTTCTTTTTTTTTTTTCCTCACAGCTAACACTCTACTTATGAGCTAAGCTCCATTTCTAGCTTTTTGCTGGTAAATTGAAGATGATATTCTTTTAGATTTGTCTGTCTACAAACCTCAATTTCAGCTCTCAGCCTCCTGAATATCTAGGGCTATCAGTGTGAGCTACCAGTGCTCAGCCCCATTTTGACAGTTTTAAAGTATAAAACTCCTGTTACTAAGCACAGTCACAATATTGTTAATCCATCACCATTGACCATCCTTATAACTTTTCAAAGCATCCTGATCTTATCTTACAGTTTGATAGATAGACAAATAGACAAAGTTTGATAGAAGATAGATTGAAGATAGAGGATAGATAGATAAATAGATAGATAGATAGATATGTAGATAGATAGATAGATAGATAGATAGATAGATAGACAGGCAGGCAGTACTTTGGGTAGAACTCCAGGCCTCACTCTCAAGAAGGAGGCGCTCTACAACTTAAACAATGCCCTCAAGTCTTTCCATTTTCAAGTGTTAACATTTCCTAACAATGGAGCAATAATCATTCTTTCTGATGGAGGCATAGAATTCCATTGTGTATATATACCACATTTTCTTGATCCATTCATCTACTGAGGGGCATCTGGGTTGGTTCCATATCTTAGCTATGGTAAACAATGCTGCAATAAACACAGTTGTGCTGGTAGCTTTAGTGTGGTCTTGTTTGTGATCATTTGGGTAAATGCCCAAAAGTGGGATTGCTGGGTCACAGGCGAGCTCTATGTGGAGTCTTTTGAGGAACCTCCATATTACTTTCCAAAGTGATTGAACAAGTTTACACTCACACCAACAATGCAGTAAGGTTCCCTTCTGGAAGACTTGGAAAAAATTATATTAAGTGAAGTAAGCCAGGCCCAAAGAAACATAAATCCCATGGTTTCCCTTATTTGTAATAATTAGTATTTGTCTGAGAGAAGCAGAAAAGGTCAAATAAGTTGATGTTAGGTGAAATGAACCCCAAGATAAGTATTCAAATGTTTTTTGTTTTCAAGCAATTGTTCCTAACATATTTATAAAATGACTTCTTTGTTGCTTTGTATGTCCCTCCCCCACGGTATAACCCCTGCTTTCACTGTATTTGATGTTGGTATAACTTGTGGAGGGGAAGGGAAAAAACAAATAGTTTAAATAGGGATACAGGTGGACCCATTGCAACAATGAGATGCACAAGACATTATGTCGAAAAACGAACTTTATAACTGTCGGGCCGGGGTGCGGGGGGAGGGGGGGTGATGGGAAGGGATGGAAAAGGGAAACAAAGGAGAAGGCAACAATGCTTGATAAGAAATGTACTCATTATCTTGCCCATGTAATTGTATGGTATTTTCACAATAAAAATAAATAAATTAAATTAAAAAACAATGCCCCCAGCCTTTTCTTTAGTGTTATTTTTTTTTTCAAGAAGTCTCATGATTATTTTTCCCTCTGGCTGTCCTAGATCCTCATCCTTCTACTCTGCTCCTATAAGGCTGGAATCACAGTAATGAGACTCTGTTCAAGCTCTTATATCCCAACTTCCATATAGAATATCAGCTACCTTACAAAAGTGCTTGCTTCATTATGCATCATAATATATCTTTCTTTTAGAATATGTAAAGAAGTCCCACCTGGCATGTACAGTTAACACTGATGAATGAAAGAAGTATCCTGAATTTGCTACTGATGATATTTGTACGCCCTATCTCCTCAGACATCTAGAGGCCATCTAGAGGCCAGGAATGACTGGGGCTCTGCCTGAGTTCTGTATCCTATGTAGACAGACAATACTTAGCATCTGACTGTATAACTATTTAACTGTAAATACTTTGCCAGACTTTATTGCTTAACTCATGTGTGATATGCTCTGGATGTCAATCAAGGAGTCCATCTTCTGGCCCGACATGGCCATCGGGCCAGCAAATTACTCAGCAGTTGATTGCAGGCTCATAGTCATAAAGCCTCTGGTCCCAGAGCTATGTCATGGCCAACTTCACAGTTTCAAGGGCTCAGGTCTAAGAAGATTCATATTATACAGTTTTGAAAGTCAAAGTTTACAATGCATGGCCCCAAGGCCTTCCTGGAGCTAGTAAAGTCACTAAACACTAAACAAAGCAAAACTAGTCCTTTACCAACTCTATCACACTGAGACTAGATTATAGAGATTCTGATGAAAGTCTGGGGAAGCCTTTTACTTCACTCCCAATACATATCCCACCTGTAAATACAATCAGTTTTCTGCAATTGAACGATTGTCATAGCTACCATTGTAGCTGTGGAAAAGATATTTTCCACAGTGGCCACTTGCTACTTTCCACTTATATTAGGATAAAATGCTTTTATATTAGGTGATTAGTACCCTTGGTCATGAAGGATTTAAAACCTTGCTTACTGAAGAACTGATATGGTAATCTCTTTCTTTCCTTCCCTCCCTCTCTGTGTCTCTCTCATACTCTCTCTTTCTCTCTCACTTTCTCTTTCCTCTCTCCCCTCATTACACACACACACACACACACACACACCTTCACCTCTCCGAATAGCCATGCATCTTACAAATGCATAGTCAGATAATAAGGTATACCCTGTCCACATTGGAGATCTGTGACTCAGAGCCCAAGCAATGAACACATTAGCAACCCAGTGGAAACTCAGGGTAGATCTTTTCAAATTCTAGTTCTGAACAATATTATATCTGTTGTTTCTCAGAAGGCTTTTTGTTTGTTCCACATTCCATAAAACCATTTCAGAATCAATTCATGAAAAAAGTCTTATGCAGTTTATTTTTATCTGTATATTATTTGATTTTTATTTACATTATTTTCATTGTAAAGGTGATTTACAGAGGGGTTACATTACATAAGTATTGAGTACAATTCTTATAGAACATTTTTACTCCCTCCCTCATTTACTCCCACTATCTCTCCCCCCACTCCCCTCCACCCCAAGTTGTAGAGTTCATTTCCAACATAGTGTCTTGTGAGTATCACTGTTGAATTGGTTCACCCTTTGTCCTTTGCCTTGCTATTTCTGTGATTCTCCCTGCCATCCCTAAATCATAGAAACTTATATGCCATACGAAGGGTACAGAAATTAAAAAAAAATTGACAACACAGAGTAAACCAAAGGAAAAAGAAAAAAAAGAAAAAAGAAATAACTGCACCAAGTTATTTCTTGTTTCTAAATCTTGTAATTTTTGATTAGCATCAGTTTATAAGGTTATATATACATAGCTATTGAGCTATTGTGATCCTCTGCTAGTAATATCCTAGACATACACTAATTATTACAAATGAGGGAAAACAGGCAGTCTATGTTTCTTTGGGTTTGGCTTATTTCATTTAATATGACTTTTTCCAAGTCTTTCCATTTCCTTATGTAGCCAAGACATGGAATTAACCCAGATGATTCTCAGTGGATGAATGGATCAAGAAAATGTGGTATATAAATACAATGGAATTCTATGCTTCCATCAGAAAGAATGGCATCGCTCCATT